GGATAATTACTTAATCATCAAAACAAGCCAAAATAATCTTTTTCTGAAGGATCGAAGTGTCGAACAGGTAACGGAAAAGTATCAGCTGCTTATCCTCCCAAACAAGTCTAAGACCAGTCTGGTACCAATCTACCGACTCCGAAGGGATGTATGACTTGGTGAAGCATGTGCGCGAGATCGAAATATAGACCTCTCGTGTGACGCAGAGCACCTCTAGCCACTGCGCCACATGCGCTGTTGGCTCAAAAATAACCAACATATATCCCTCTCTGAGGCACATTTTGGACTAATCTGATATAATTTTTCTAAACCTTCAGAGGTCCGGTATACCACCGCGAATGCTAGACGTACGTTTCGGCTTTCCCGCAACCCTCATCAGTAGCACATGCCATTCGGTCTACTTGTTTCGGGTTCAGTGTGCGCCGCAAGAAAATAAGCTTTTATCGCCTTTTTGAACATTTGTGTCCTTAATCATGTAAATCGCATCGCAAACACAGCGACACCGACATGCATGTATTCTGTAGCAATTAATCACATTTTTTAGAGGCGGGTAGCGCAATAGCAATAAGCTTTTCTGTGAATACACTGTCCCTGACTAAGTTCCGAGTGCTATTCCCCTTTTAAGCGATTGTTTTTCTACCATTGCAATGTGGCGTTATGACAATAGTGCCGGAGAGATCGAGATAAAGCCTTTGATCATTGTCGTCTAAACTCTGGATTTTCTATAGATTTTTCGTTTCCGCTTTGCCTTTATGAGCTAACAAAAGCGTTCTAGACTACTCAAAATTCGGCACTACTACATCAGTCACTTTCAGTGCTTTTTTTCATTTTCATTTTCATGTTCATTTTCTAATGATTGTAACCTGTTCATTTATGTCCAATAGGTAATTTCCACGATAGTGGATCACACCACTCAGCCCTCGATATTGTTTGTCAAAAAAGGCGTTTTGTTTCAAACTCCCACCTAAGATGTTTTCCAAATAATGGGTTTACGTCAGGCAGTCAAAGAAAGTGGTATGATATAGACAGGACCGCAAAAGATACATTGGAAAATGAATGAAATTTCCGCCTGCTGTAGATACTCGCAGATAAACTAAATTTCAGTGGCCAATCACTATCAGCAAAAACTGTCTTCTACATAACAGCATCGCCGAGTGAGGTACCTCATTCGAGCGATGTTCGAACGAAAGAAATTCGACTTTAGCCACAACGAAAGCGAAGCCCACAATGACGCCGGGCTGTTGCGGACAATCGACTCAAATCATCGGTGTTGAAAAAATCGAAAGCGCCGAAACGTTAGTCAAATAAAATATTTATCAACAATCGTGCACTAAAGACTCAATCAACAAAAAATATGATTGGTGCTGTCGGATTTGAAGGAATGTTGGTTTTTATACTGTTATTGCTTTGAATTTTTATCTGCAGACATTAAGCGATATTTCAGGTGTGTGTAGACTATGTTGACAGGAGTGAAGCCAAAAGACTCATTCCGTAACCTATCAGCGGCAAAATCGTCTTGACAGTAGCCGTTGATTGGAATTCTGGGTTCGTCCCGTTTGAATTTTTAGGATTTTCAATAATGATCTTATTGAAGTCGGCATCAATGATCATGGATATTTGTAAACCTAAATAGTTCTAAACATTATAATATGAAAGATCTCTGCAAAATTTTCATGTGGCTTAGTCAAAAAAAAAAACAAAAGTAGCTGGTGAGGGATTCTGAACAAGTCGCTCGTTTAAAACAATGTACAGAAGAATAAAAAGGATAAAGCTATTAGTGTTGATTAATTCCGAGGGATGCGCCATGCATTCGTCGTCAATTTTCAACTTCGTTTGAGGTGACTGAATACATATCTGACCTTTACATTGAGTCCATGTGGCCTCCCGCTGAACCGAGTCATGCTGCTTATACACCTAGAGAAGTCTGAGACCCCTCCGGTACCGATTCACCGACCTCGGAAAGATGGATGCCTTGGTGAACCATGAACGCGTGGTCGAACTTTCGACCTTATGTACGAAGCAGAGCAACTCTAACCAGTGCGCCACAAGCGCTCAAACAATATGTATTCTAAGAGAATTACTAGCATATTGCTAAATGTATTAGTGCCGTCACTTAACTCCTAGAGCAAAATCAACGAATTGAACATTTTTTTATTATAATTGTTCGATTTAGAACTTAAAAAAGGAATGTTCCAAATGCTGAACTGATCTGTTTTGAGCAGCAGGGCAACGCTTCATAATAGTAGCATGTGTTGAGCTTTGCATCAACTTCATTGTGTTGTAAAAAGTACTTTCGATTTATACTGTGAAAGGCACCCATCAAAATACTCAATAAGCAGCTGTGTTACGTGGTGAATTAGAAAAGTAACATTATTATGGTATTGTTATTCTTGTGGGCTAAGCGTCCATTGACAAACCAAACAAAGTTAGAAAATGTTTGAACGTAGAGACGCTACTACATGAGTTCTGATGCGGTACACTTTATCTCTTGTAGACCATGCAGAGACGAACACACTGGTGAACACGTAGACCACTGCGCGCTCCTATAAATTATCATCTGGTTGGAAAAGGCTGGAATCAAACAAAACACTCCACAGGCATATAGGGCACAAAAAAAGCGGAAAAGACTTGATACGCAAATCAGTGCCCTTATATGGGAATTGAGAACATCCGCGCGACAACTTGTTGAGGCATGTGAATCTTTTTCAAAACATAAAAGTGAATTGCAAGAGAAAGTGTTTCATTGTCACACAAGACCTTGGACCATACCTCAGAATGGCTTTTGTTGACCTGAGCATGATGCATCCCTAATTCATTCAAAATTTGTACGGCTTACTTCCAGTGAACAAATGGAAGTCTTTTAATGAACAAAACGGTATTCAAGAGAAGTTATTTGCTAAGTGAACCAAAATCTGCATATAACGACTTTGGGTTGAGGTCACGAAAGTGTCTAATTGAGTCGGTTGCTCCCTAATTTGCTCTTTACACTCCGAAGAAGGGTAACTCCTAAGGGACGGCTTTACAAAGTCGATGCGCGCAGAGCAAAATGCGCAGCGGTGCGTGATTTTCGTTGCTTAATTAAGGTTTTTCCTCCGTTTAGCAAGAATTTTTGGAATTGTTGTAATACCTCAATACAACACTCTTTACTCGCTCATATGCTTCTGTTTTAAGTATATGTTTTTTGTATAAAGAAAAACGCTGGTATATTATGCAGTCATGCCGAATTTGGCAAACAGTCAACTGTATTGAATTCTACAAAGGATACCACAATAGAAAAAAAACTTTAGTTTTGATCTCCTCTAGTTTCATACAAGCCCGAAGAGCTATCGTAGTCAGTATACATTGGAAAACAATGAGTAATTCATCAAAAATGATTATGCATGGTGTTTAGGTTACCAATTCATCGATGACTCTCGCTATAACTAAGTTTATATCAGTAATTCGCTTATTTACAGAAATTTAGAGTTGACTTATGTAAAAAAAAGTCGACAACTTATGATTAGTAGAAGAATTCTGTGCGTGAACAAGCAACTGTTTTAGGTAAGAGTCTTGGAACATTGGCATTATGCAAACTATTGGTCCGAGATATGTGTCTCCAAAGATGTGGAGTGCTGTGCAAAAACAAATGCTTCAGCCAAGATTCGAACCCATATCTCACTCCTTCCGGGAGCATCTGCTAACCGTTGCACCACCGAAGCTCGTTTTGCATGGCACTCTTTTTACTCTACAACGCGTGATTGATTTTTTGAAAGGTTATTACATAAAGTTCTAAAGCGAAAAGAAGATCCTATTTCATGCCTAGAATTTTGCCCCGCCACTTCGTCTTCTTATCTGGTTTCTTGGTAATTATAGGTAAGTTTATTCGTCATAGGTAACGCATAAAAGATGAAATATCACGAAAAATTCTCGAGATTTGTGCTATCGAATAACTGGCAAGAGTCTGGAGATGAGCCATATAAGCCCCAGCCAAGAAAATAAAGCAAACTGATGTAAAACATAATATACTTCCGCCGCTACAACGTAATGAAAAGGCTTTTCCAAAAACCAAACATATTGTGAAAATTTTAGAGATTTGAGCCTTCGAATGATTACCAAGTGTCTATGAGAAAAGTTTTGTCTAGCGAGAAAGGCCCTCAAACAATTGTGTACTCCAGTTGATACACACCGTCCTTTTGGGGTATTAAGGCTCTTTACGCCCCAAAGAATGCTTTCAAATAATAAGCCCTGTTGCATTGCATATGTCTTGTTGTTAATATTTTCATGTCTACTCATCGAGATGACAATGAATCATTTATTAATTCCGTGTTAAGAGCTTAGTTTTCAGCTTTGCTTTCCGCTATTTTATTCCTAACAGTTAAAGATTATTGCAATCTAAAATATTCATCATTCAAACGAAGCTGAAATTTAAGTAGTGCGTAGAAACAGAATTCTTCATTCAAGTGCCGCATATTCTAATTTTTTAATGTTTATAACCTAAAACTTAATTGAAAATTTATACACTCTCATAAGACTGTAATGACTATTGCTGATGTAGCATACAGTAAGATCTCCAAAGCACTCAGTAATAATTTCATAATTAAATAAATTTACTGGGGAACAGGATGAAAAGGTGAAGACCGGCCACTGAAGAGTTATTGGATCTTTTTAAAACTCCAGAAATGTAGCAATTCTTTCAAGAACCACAGACGTTTGTCCGAACTGCGGCACACGCAAATTGCTTCACTTTGCGATTCACAACACCTCACAAGGAAGATGTAACGTTGCGTGCAAGTGGGAATATCCAACACTCACTCACGACGAGAATCGCGCGGCCTCGAGCCGCTATGCGCGGGCCTGCCGCGTGAACCGACACCGGCGCTACTTGCCACTCTGCTATAGGTGCGAGAGTTCCGCTTTCTTTGTTCACGTCATAGTCATGCTTGAATGCTCTTTCGTCCTACTAAAACATTCTTAACTTAGAACTATGCACCTAAAGATGTTGAGTGATGTGCGAAACATTCGGCCTCAAATGGGAGTTGAACCCTAGGCTTCACATTTTCGGCAAGTGTGCTAACCACTGCACTACTGAGGCACCTGTTTCTGCTATCAAAATTTCTGCGATAAATGGTGAAATTATTTGTCTGGATTTCCACTGGCCTAGCCACTGCTGATAAATCATGCGTTTCGACAAATCAACTGCTTGTGTAAATAATTGGTTGATTTGCAAACATATCTACCAGTACAACAATCGGACCCATTTTTTCGCAATATATTAATTAGTTGAAGTAGATGCGACAAATGGCTTGTAGAACACAAAAATTACACAGAGGGCGTAAAATTACATGTTGAAGTTCTTGTACTCATCGAAAAGCTTGCTTTATCTATGATTTAAACAACCATTTTATTCGCGTCCGAATGTTTTCTCTTCCTTAGTAGTTTTTTCCCTTAAGCTTTATCTCTCTAACATGCTGACTGCGACATGAGCCATAGATGAGGACGCGCGTGTCTCAGAGCAGACTAGCCGCTAGTGGTTTTATGAAATTCATTTTCCTTCACCTGCTCATCTTGTCCCACAGCCATTTAACACGTCTGCTACATTGGCGCATTAAATTTCGCAACTTGGGATCCATTGTCGTCTTTTGAAATGGTAAACCACTGAGGAAACTCCAGAGAAAAGTGTTTCTACTATGGGGCCAAGCTGTGCATTCATTAAATGCGTGTTCATCCGTGTGCTTTTTTTGAGGGGTCTTACACCCAAAGTGTGGTGTAGCGCAGTGGTCAGAGGTGTTCTGAGTTATATACGTGTTTGATGGTATGACCTTGTGCCCAAGGCTCACCCAAACCTTGGGCGCAAGATTGCTTTTAAGTTTCAATTTCTAGAACGTTAACGAGCGTTCTCAAAGTTTTAATCTAGATCATTTATTCTCTGAAATCAAGTGTTGAGCCAAGACTTGGTGATCATTATTGATAACCTGCAACCCCGTCAATGTGTTCTTACTCACAGTTTATGTACAACAAATATTATTCGCATTAAGATAGGTTCATATTTTGTACAAACAAAATTTTGAGTAGAATATCTGTCATAATATAACAACATCATATTATGACAAACGCTCACCTAAATCAAGGAACAATGAATTCTTCAAAAACATCTGACAAACCAGAAACTATACAAGAAAGATAGAAAGGAGACAGAAAGGAGACTAGTTTCATGGTCAGATGTTAAATCACAGCCATACTAAAAGTAATCAAGAAGTTTATAATCGTCTTTTGATAGCGATGAAATCTAAGAGAATCAGTCTTCGACCTCATAGCCTAAGAGAGGAGACAGCCACCTCTCCGTTTCAGCTAGAGGAAAACCCTTACGTGCTGAATAGTCAACTACCTGAAACAAAATGGGATTCGTTATTTTATTATCTTAAACATGACCCATAACTACGTTTTTATGTGCGAATCTCAGCAATTCTAGGACCAATCAGTGTTCTCGCATTCATCCTCCCCTAAAATTTCCGAACATTCTGCGTTGTTTCTGCTTTGGAATTTCAATTTCTTCATGAATGATGTAGTTAGTATGCTGACCAGTCAAATCTCTTTGCAGTCTCAGAGCACCCCGAACTAAGGTGTTCCGCGGAGCGTTCGTTGACTGATTGCAAGGAAGTATTGGGGAAAGCGTCGAACAAGAGCCTTGATTTCCAATAGACTGCGTCATTCATCACCCTGCCACCACTCCCCACGTAATTGGGCTGACAAAATAAAATATAGACTAAACGAGGTTGGTACGCCAGGGTCATACACCGGTGTTTCGGAGGTTTCGGCTTCGCACTGTAGCTAGGAGGGAGGCGTATGTGGTGATGGCACAGTGTACAAAATGCAAGGTTTACTGTGGGGCGGGCGTCACTGACGATGAGGCCGAAACCTCCGAAACACCGGTGTATGACCCTGGCGTACCAACCTCGTTTAGGCTCAAAGCATTCTTTTTCGAAATTATTTTGAATGTTTTTTGCGAGGTTTCAAAAACAGTCGATCTCTTGAATTAAAATATAGACCCCAATTTTTTTTACAAGTAAGTAGTTTTGAAAAGCTTAGAGATGGTCATATGAAAGCGAGGGTCAACAACAAAGAACCTTCTTTCTGCGAACCATCTCACAGAATAAAGATGAGAATGCAGATTTTAATAACCGTAACAAATTAGATTGGAATAAAGCTCACCACAGAAATTCTAGCAACTATTTTTCCTCTATAGATAATAGCCATATTACTTCATGACGCCCCGTATGATGTACTTGAAATCGCCCGAATTATATCATTCAAAAAGACGTAAAGAAAGCAACAAACCTGATCCTTGTCAATTTTACCCACAGCGAAGTAGTAACTGGCGGGACTGGCAAAATATAAACCGCATACTGAAGCTGCTGGCATCATAGCCAGATGATCAGTTAACTGTATACCGCAATCGTCAGCCTATCAATCAATTCAATTAGAAAGCTTTCAACAACATCAGATCAACCCTTTGGGTACTATATTAATTTTTTACTTAACGAGGCGCGATCGCCGGGCTGACGGGGCGCGCTCGGATGAAAATGTTGCTGTTTTCCACTGAAATTTAGAATTTTTTTGTCACTAAAGGGGTTTTGCGATAAGTGAAAGATTGATTATTTCCAAGGTGATTTTAACAACCATCAATAGTGGAAAAAAAGGCCAATACTTCCTACTGCACAATAACATAGTCAATAGCTTGCCAACAATAATACTGCACAATGCACAGAAATTTAACACTCGACGAGCGATCGTGCATTGAAAATTCTTTTCGGAAGTGTGTGTGTATATTGTTATGAGCATTTGTCATGAACTGTATGTCGCTAATAAATATAAATTCTTTGTAGAGTATTTTAAGACCTTTGATCCAATCTTGCAAGATCAATCGAATGAGTAAAATTAAGAATAAGTTCAATCAAGAAAGCTTATTGAATAGATACCAGTTCTAAACCAGGGTGCGCATCCATTGCAGAATGTCACAGTAAGCTGAGACGCCGCGTGGCCAGGGATGTATCAAAAGCGATACACGCTGTACCCAAAAGATCAAAACAATTCTGATTACTTATAGTGGCCATTCAAAGAGTAACGGAGATTGCAGTAAAACAGTGACAGTTAAATTTATGGACCTTGGGTAGGAAAAAGCAGCATCTAATGAACCTCTAAGACAATGAAGTGCAAGCCGAGTTCCACAAAGAAAATAATTTCTTCCGTTCATAGTATGATAGGAGTAGTGCCAACATAAAAACAGCCATCTTTAGTTATTATAAGAGCCATAGCTTGCACTATTTGAGAAGTTTTCACCTTCAGCAATTTCCACAACGTTCGCTTCTCAGTGTGGTCTGGCTGCGTGGGATAACCAGGTGCTGGCCTTATACCGTTGTATTTAATGGCCAGGAGATCAGCCGGATTGAGATTCTAAACCAAATTTTCAATCTGTCCACGAATTATCATCTTGTAGTTTATGGTTGTACTACTAATTCCCTAACGAAAATTTGATTTGGTGTTCAAATATCTTGCGTTTCTATGATCACACTGTTCGGAAAATCAAACGATAAATCGGAAATAGGAAGAAGAAAAGACTTTAGTTACCTCATCCAAAGAATAGCCCCATAAGTCGATTCTCACCAAACGATGTAAATATTCTGCAAACGCTTCAGCCAAACGGTCTGCTAGCGCCTGTAATCAACGAACTAGAGAGAGATAAATTCTTGTAGATGAAACGATAATGGCATTAGCCCTATATTGTCTTACTCTCACTGACTCTTTTGCCATATTCGCGCTTGCATTGTTTCGGTATTATCACATCATTATTGCTGTAATATGATGAAAGTTTAATCACCTGAGCATGAGACTGGGAGTTGCGGCGCTTATCGAAAGTCCGAAGTAGCAAGAAATGAAGGGAATTACTTGCTACATAAACTAACCAACACGTTATGACAAATTTTGATATATACTAATATGTCCAAGACAACTAATATAAGGTGCTATTACAGATTAATCACAACTTGTAACCCTTTGTAATACATTTGAAGTATACCTTGACCATAATGCTACCGTAATCGTCATGTTCCTTCTCTAGCTCCATACAGTACTGCTCAGCACCGATGCCAGCACTGCACGCAAACAAACCAATGTAGTCAGAAGGGGCGCCTGTGAGAGCAAATGTCACTTTAGAAAGATCTTTTCCAAGAAAAGACTAAATGTGTGAGCACGAAAAATTGTTGCGTAAGTAGTGTATAAGGGATAGGTAAGTGGAGCTCTGAAACCAAAAAAAGCAATCCTGAAACAATTCTGCTGCAATGAAGTCTTCTGTTTTGATAAATCTTTGAGGGATAGGATACGCCATGCTTTGAATTTCATCGAGCATCGCTCGAGGTGACTGAATACATATCTGACTTTTACGATAATTAGCGGCCACCCAACAGTGTATCAAGTCAGTGCTGCTATCCTTACAGACAACTCGTACGAATTCGCCGACCCCGAAGGAATGTAAGGTTTGGTGAATTTTAGGCGAGAGATCGAACCATCGACGTTGTGCGCGTCGTAAGTTACCTCTAAGCAATGTGTCAAATACGACCGGAAAACTGCATATCACTCCCGTAAAAGGAAAAAGAAAGAAGTAATTTACCATTTTGCAACGGTTTTACGAAGTCACTGATGCATGCGTGTGGCTGATCGTGCTCTAGACCGGTTTGCTGCCGTAGACCATAAAACGTTGCCGTTTTCACTCCGTCTTCGAATACCTAAGATTTTTGAATATCAGTATTACATTGAAGATAAACGCAAATAAAATTTGTGATTTGAACAAAACATGCTTGAAAGTCTACTTGAAACGAAATCACTTTATGGACTTTCATAGAATAGCACCTTTCTTTGCGTTCCCCCCAATGAAAGAGCAGCGTTACTATCACAGTGTCATTAGAGTCAATAATTTGAGGAATTTATGAAGACCATTACGTGAATAATGGACCTACAGCTCCATCTGATACGTGCAGAGAAAATCGCGAATTGTCGAATCATTACAAGAAACCATGAATTTTTTTCCAAAATGGAGAG